CATTATTGGACTGTTTGGTATTTACGGGTACTCGAAGTTTGTGATGGTAGTGACCGACAGCGATTCTCATGAAATCGTTCAAGCCAAGAGCTTTCAATGTGTTATTTGTGTTGCCTATGAGTCACAACATTTATCCGTATTAATTTAGGTGTTAGCCTTTTTTTTAATTTCGTATTGTTATTGTGCTATTAAGATACGTACAAACAATTTAAGTTTAAAGGCAGGGGGGTGCCAATTTTTGTTCCATTATTGCACTGTTTGGTATTTATGGGTACTCGAAATTTGTGATGGTAGTGACCGACAGCGATTCTCATGAAATCGTTCAAGCCAAGAGCTTTCAATGTGTTATTTGTGTTGCCTATGAGTCACAACATTTTTGCGTATTAATTTAGGTGATAATCTTTTGTGAGTATACATGCATGGCGTCATAGCTGTTTACACAGTATAGGCGAAATGAGAACCGACTATAAAGATATTATATTACATAAACTTTTTAAAGCCCTAAATTCCACAAAACGTTTAGAAACTTGAAAGCACGCTTCGAAACCCAATGTGTCATCCTCAGTTAGAGACTATAGCTGAAAAATAAAGTAATTTAAGTCCGATAAGCTCAATTTAAAGACTTCTTTTTGTTAAAGGCGATTCGACCCTGCGCTTTCCTATATTTTATATATGTATATTGCTCCATACATTCTGAGTTATCTGACTTTCTACATACCAAATATCAGCCACTTCTTCTACTTTTTTGTCTCCCATCTTTTAGAACAATTAATTTAACTTCCCATGCGTCAAAAATCATAACTAGAATTGTATAGAGGAGGATGGGAAAAAGGTAGCAAGAACTATTAGGGGAACATCAATTTGGGTTTAGGAGAAATAGAGGAACGCGAGAGCCCATACAGGTGCGAAACAAGGAAAGTGGGCGCGGCGGAAAAAAGAAGGTTAGAAGCATTCGAAATGTAGTGTTACAGGCGAATGATGAGGAAACCGTGGATAGAGAAGGTTAGAAATGAAGAGGTATTAGAAAGAATAGGAGAACAAAGGACTCTATGGAAGTCAATAAGAAATAGGCGAAATAAGTTGGTAGGACACCTTTTTAGGCATGAAGGAATAGTCAGACATATTAAGAGGCAGAAACGGAAGTTAGGTGAGGTAGAGGTAGACCTAGATTAGATTACCATCGCAAATAGTTAAGGATATGGGTTGTTCTAGTTTTAGGGAAGATTAGCTCAGTATAGGAAAGAGTGGAGGTGCGTGTCCAACCAGTCTTATGACGACATTATGATAACGATCTTTATATTTGATCTTTCTATCTTCTTCCCTTGCATACCAGTATTTTTGTTTTACTTTTATTTGTTTTAATACAATACCTAATGTTTTGGCATTGCCGCTTCCATTTTATTTAAGGCTGTCTCTAACTCCTTGCTAGATGCTAATACTGCTGTAACATCTGCAAATCTTTTGCCGCTGTATATCTATATCCCTAATGTTGTCCTGTCTTTAATAATATTTATCGCGTCTTCGATATATATTAAAAAGTAATAGTGAGTCCAATCATTATTTAGTTTAGGTGAAGAAACCTCTCTTAAATTTTCTTCATCTTAAGAAAGCACTGTGTCTTGAAATAATAACTGTTCAATCAAGGAATAAAAAACTAAGAATTTTGTGTTCGCTCTATTGTTTAGATAAATTGAACTAGGAACTTCGTATTGTCGTACATATTTTTAAAAGAACCACTTATTTGAAATAGTTCATAGATTTGATAAAAATCTGGAATGAAGAGGAAAAGATGGAAATCTTTCAATGATGCAATTTTATATTTTTTTGGTAACTTGATAAAGTCCGATTTACATTTAGCCTTATCCGTTTGTTTGGATGGTACGGAAGTCGTGTCTATTTTTAGAAAAATTTGTTTTAAAATTAAACGTCGTCAAGCGTCATCATTTAATATCTTGGCCAACCGAGTTTATTTATCTAAAAGACGCTGCAATGTGGTAAACTAAAAAAAAATTACTCCCATACCTTAAAATTTGATTATGTATTAAACGTACATATATGACATGTTTTTATCAAAAGTGGCAAGGCTATTTGGCTATTTCCAAATTCCATTTATAAATAAGGTTTTATCTTATCTAGAAGTTATTGTTCTTATGTTACACACCTTTAGCTATTAGGGAGTAACTATCAACTAAAAATTAAATATCCAACAATAAACAAAAAGTTATAGGGGTTAGATAGGGGTGGGGTAGGAGTGATCGAAAGATGGTAGGGGGGGATCGAAAGAGGGTGCCCAGCTGTGTAAATCCCCATTAAAAATTTGCGACGGTCTCACCCCCATAAAAAGTTATGGTGGTTGATTATTTTGACAATTTTCAACATTCACAAATATACATACGATAATATTCTAGTAAATAAAAGTTCCGCATTTGTTGTTATTAGATTATCAGCAGT